TTTTTTTTTTTTCTCTCGATGTGGATACAGGGAAGCCAATCTCACCTGTGTGAACTGTGGGACTGTGTATCCACCAGTAAATATGCCAAGGACTGCCCTCTGGTAGAGGTAAGCCAGCAAAGAGCAGTTTGCAGCTGCTTATTAACCTCTTAGACTCCAGAACAGGCTGGCAACATGCTAACTGCCTACCAGAAAAGGCACCTTGATAACTGACAAATTGCAGGCATGCCAGAATGTGTGCCTGCAACTCTTCCACCAATTGACTGTACTGAAAATAGTGCTTCAGTGCCCCAAAAGTTTTCTGGCACCGCTGGCTCCAGTAACATAGATGTGGTGTGACTGGCTTAATGCTGAGCTTCTAACTTACTCATTTTGGTGCTTTTTTAGTCAATAATGTAATTAATTCAACTTTCCTTTATGATTATTGTAGGGTGAAAAACAAATCCGTAATGAATTCTTGTCTCTCTGGTTAGCAAAGCATCAAGTCAGAGTTTTATCATGAGTAAAGATTAGTGAGGAGCACCTGGCACCTCATGGGTTTATAGCTGTTGAAGCAGGTGCAAACCAGGAACAAAAATAATTACTAGGATATTGCAGTATTTAATCTTGGGAGCATATTAAGTACAGTAGTAGCAAAGCTGAAGTGTGATCTCAGAAAATAAGAGCAATCACATTCAACTTGCTTTGTTACAGATTTTCATTCTCCTGATAATCCAATAAAAAACAAAGCCAAAAATGTTTTTAAATGTACAATGCTCTTTATAAAAGCTAGCATCAAGTAATAATCATCCTGCAAAACACAGAGCCAGTAGCATTTTCCCAATTCTCTGTCTCATCTACACATAGGAAGGTGTTGTAACATGACAATGCCTTGCATGACCTTTGTGCAGTATCACTGAGGAGTAATGGGGACCTCAAGACGCTCAAGTATGGAATAGGATTAAAGCATACGTAACTAAATTGGAGTTGGATCTGCAAAATAAGCACGAACTGCAACAGTGCACCAACAGTGGACCAACAGAAGCTGCTTTAAAGCTGAATGGGGGGTTGCAGAATTGATATATGATTTTTTTTTCCTCCATTTTAGTATAAATCAGTACACTCAAGATTGGTGGGAAAGGTGGCAATTAATACGTGCACCTCTTTGTTAACCAGCAGTTCTTCAGGAATTAAAAGGAGAGATGGCATTTGCACAATATGCTCACAGTAATGAATCATATATATGATCATTTTACTGCTAATGCAGCTCAGTTTCAAATAGCTCCTTCATGTTTTCAAGACGCTTTTAAGATTAGTTCAAGCTCCAGATTATAACTTCACAATTAAGACCAGTCTCTAAACCATCATCTGAGTAATAAATTGTACACAATGCCTCCCAGTTCAGAGGGTTTGAACTTGATAACTGTCGCTTTGGAAACAGGATAACAATTTTGCATAGCACTGTTCGGCCTCAGAAGACCATGCAGAACACAACATTTCATGAATCCACTGTAACAGTTTTCCTTTCCAAGAAATATCTTTACGTCCCAAGCTTTAAAAATAATTTACTGATTTTTTTTCCCAATTTGCCTGCTCGGTTCATTCAATTACATAAAATAAGTCATAAATAAGTCATAAATAATATAGTCAAATTAAGTGACTACATTGCAAATAATGTCACATAAGCATCTTTGGGTGGAACACAATACTCTTCTATGTGAATTGACACTTTGTAGGTCTTTTCTTTTTTTTTCCTTTTGTCCTCTTAAAAGCTTGTCCAAAATGTCAATCCTTACTTTGATGCATTTTTCCCTCCTACTGTAACAATTAATGTTACTTTGGCATAGCCAGCAGGGAGGTGATCATCCCTGTCAGCTTCAGGCTTGCAAGGCTCCATCTGGAGGACAACATCCAAGCCTGGGGCCACCAGCACAGGAAGGATGTGGAGCTGTTGTAGGGAATCCAGAGGAGGCCACTAAGATGATCAGAGGGCTGGAGCACCTCTCCTGTGAAGAAAGGGTGAGGTAGTTGGTCATGTCCAGCCGGAAGAAGAAAAAGCCCTGGGGACACCTCATTTTGGCCTTCCAGTTCTTAGAAGGATCTTATAAATCAGGAGAGAGATCAACTTTTTGCATGGTCTGATAATGACAGAACAAGGAGAAATGCTTTTAAACTAAAAAAAGGTGAGGATTATGTACGTTGAAAGTAATGAAAAGCTCAAAGTAATGGCTCTTATTTTCATTGAAACTACAACAGATACAAAGAGCAAAACAACACCATTTGATAGAGCAAATACTCAGCTACAAAACACCATTTTTCCATACAGTCACCATCATTTTTGCCAGTGATGAGTAGGAGCCTGCATGCTGCTGTCTCACTCCAACTTATAGGAGGGAGAGGAGGTTCTTTTATTATCTCTATACCCAGCGTGAGATTAAGAAACAACGGTTCAAATGTTGGTCCAACCAGTTTATTACAAATCTTAATTAGAGAAATGGGGAAGGGGAGGACGGACACTATTATGAATGAGGGTAATGGGGAAGGAGGGCAATAGAAAAGATAGGAAAGAAGAAGCAAGGAGTCTTTATAGGAAGCAAGAGGGAGATGGTCACCACCATGGATCCAGCGTGGTTCATAGTTCAGTCTTTGATCTTCAGTAGGGGGGGTTGTAGGGCATTGTTCTGTTGATGACAACTAGAACGACAACAACCATGGCAATGATGGCCCCTTTTCGATACTTTCAGAGTGGTCGAGTCAGCTGTCTTTGGAGTGACAGCTCAAATCCAAAGTGGTTGAGTCAGCTCTCCTTTGAGTGGCAGCTTCTGGCTCTGGGATCTCAGCAGGAGATTCCTTTGTTCCTATCTTCCGGGCCTTGCCAGCAGATAAGAGGGAGCAGGGAGGTGCCAACTTGTATCTTGCCTTCACAGGATACGGTGATGTCGTCCCCCAGTCTCCCAAAGCAAGCTGGAGTTATTTGGTCACAGGCTAGGTCTTCTGCCAGTAAACAGTCCTGAGCAATATCTTCCGAAGGCAAACAGCTAAAATTGTCCACACAGTGATGTTGATTGCCATACAACACCACCCATCACTCATCTTCTAGACGTCAGTCTTATCACAAGAAATACCTCAGGAAGCAAGCTTTGAGCCAAACAAACAAACAAACAAAAACAAAAAACAAAGAAGGATTCTCACAGCTGCTCTTGTAAAAATCTGCATGGCCATCCAGCACGTGGCTTTTTGCTCACATTGCTGTTACCACTGCCAAAACTCATCCACTGCCTCACTGTGCTCACATCCTCTGTTTGCCCGTAAACATTCAGCAAGCATCAGTGAATGTCAGTGGGCACTATCTCTCCCACACGGAGGAATAATGACGTACCTTGGCTTCAATTGCACTTTCAGGTCAGACACCATTCTGTTGGACCGCCCCTCTGCTGCCATCTGTCGCACAGCTATGAAGTGCACAGGAACACTGGGGGAAGGCTCAACCAACCCCTGCTGCCTTAACACAAGCATCCTGCTTGTGACGTTGTGGCTCACATAATGAAATGGGAGGTTTTGTTTTCAAATGGGAACTTATACATAGGGGTATACAGCAGCAAGGCAGTTGGAAAAAAAACCAACACTCTAGGAAGTACTGTAGAATTAGTTACTAGAAGGTAGCGTACAGTTGAGAGAATATTCATGCTTTTCTAATCAAATACATACCAGGAACAATTAGGTACACCCAGGCCCACTGCAGACAGGGAGAGTCCCCTGTGATGTGCATTTTCATGGCTTTCTCCACACATCTTGAACAATCCTTGGTTTCTGATTCAATATGTATCCGTGCATACATATGTGCTTCTGCTGAACACACTCCAAATCCACAGTAAGGGGTTGTTTTAGGGTAGCATCACCCCTCATAACTTACTGCAACTCAATGACCAACAGAATTCTGCAAATAATGTACTATTTTAACTATTTCACTTGTTAGAAATATGGAAGTTCAATAAACTTGACCCCAGAAAATCTTTTTATGAGGGTTTTACTTTAATGGACTACTGCCACTAAAGGGGTAGGGCTAGTATGCACAAATAAACCAGGGGATAAAATTTACCTTGGATTCAGCATGAAGAATAGATGACTTCTCTCATTAGCTGTAAAGATATGACAAACTATAGTCTGCCTTCACCTAAAGACCCTAGTGGGGTTGTATTTTCTTTTTTTAAAAACAAACCTAAAAACAACGCAAATTCTTGCATCATTCCTGAAAAGCATATTTGCACCACATCAACTGTTCCATTGGTTAAGATCAAATGAGGTGAAAGGCACCAACAGAACAAACAGACTATCAGCTTATCTTGGGCAAACACACTGCCACACAGGAGAGCAAACTGTGTACATTTACAGTGTGGGCAAAGTGGACATATTATGAAAAAGACAGGGAAAAAATCCAACAGAAAATATTATGCAAGAATCTTTGTCCTTGTGTACCCTCTAGTGGCTATGCAAGGTTACTCTGCCTTACAGTAACCAGCAGGCAGTTTCTTCACCAGCAGGGAGGGAATTAGCACCTGCTGCTACATTAGCCCTGTTACATCAACAAAGATCCAGAAGATCAAGGTTCTGAACAGTGAAAGTTACAAATCATTTGAAGCGTTTAAGTTTGCAAACAGTTCTGCCTCGTTAACTGAATGCAACACTGTTATCTAAATTTTCTATAAGAAGTGATAATTCTCATAACAAGTACAACACATTCAGGGACTACACCCCAAGTGTTTGGCTGCATAGAAATTGCAGCAGGTCAGTAGATGAACTGAGCATTGGTTCTTCAGAAGTTCTAGAAAGACAGATACAATTTGATGCGTTGATTACACCACTTACAGGAGACACAGAAATCGCATGAGACAGCAACAAATGATTGGGGCTATTCCACAAGCATGCTTTTAACTGGAAGAGACTGTTGTGATTGAATGTACTGAAGAAGTGGATTGTATCAGGGACCAAGACTGTCATCTGGTGTAACACCATGCAAGCAGTCAACTAACACTTACTTTAATACAGCTTAAACAAGCATAAGTGATGGTACTACAGACAAATCTAAAATGAACAAGCAGAAACAAAATTATCCTCTCATCTCCACTGTCAAAAAACAAACAACGAAAATAGTAAAGCCCACACAAACTACCACACCACCCCTAACCCTCCAATAAATAAAAGCTTAGCACTTTAGTCAAAGTACCAAGTCCACACAAGGATAAAAAAAAATCCTCATTGCAATACATAGTACTAGGATATAAACCAAATTATGTTTTGCTGCCTGAACATGCTACCAGTGAAGCAGAAAAACAAGGATGCCATAAGGGGCACAGACTGGGTAGACTAAGCACCTCATATCATGCAAACTGCTTTTGCTAGCAGTTAAATAGTGGCAAAAGTAAGAGACCAGCAATCACTCAACTGTTCAGCCTCCTACGTAGTAATACACAGCTTCACAGGAGGAAGTATTTCTGTGCCATTTCAATATGCAGTGTTGTTTAAATAAGATACATATACTGCCAATGTGAAGACAGCACAGGTTGAATATCTGCGTATCAATTTTCAGAAAAAAAAAACTTCTTGAAATTAAATTTGTGATAACACATGCTTGAGATGAAGACTTCAAGAAGTAGAGAATACATATAACAGATGTACACGTCCAGAGCAAGCTGAATCCCAGGAGGTGTGCAACTCACATTGCTTTTAATAAAAAGGAACTCTTTTGTTCCATACAGCATATACAGAGACAGTACTGCCCAGTCCTCAAGACAATCATGAAGAAGCTTCCCTTCATTTGCAGTAACTGGGAGCTTAGCAGCAGAAGAGCTGGCTCTATTCTACAGATAGCACATGCGGTGTTTTTTTTTTTTGTTTTGTTTTTCCCCTGGACCCAAAATGAACATTAGTGAAAAGCTATGCAATTGGACAGCCTCAGTAGCTCTTCCTTCACCCTATTCAACTGCATCACTTTTTCTAAGTGTAAAGTCAAGCAGAAATCCCCAAATTCTTTCTTCTGTATGTTGGGTTCCAGAAAGTCAGTCCATCCATTTTGAAGATCACACCTAAGCAACTCTATTCTTGTGATTCATCCCCATGCCTGGGTTTTGCAATAATGTAGTACAAGCTTGCCATCACTTCCAAAACACTGCAAGAAAAGAAAACAAAAGCTATAAGATTATTCATGGACCAGCATACGCGCAAAGCAAGAAGAAACCATCTAGGTAAATGTGTCGTGGAGTAGAGACATTCATAACAAAGCTCTCCATCATAACTGGAGGCATGATGTACCATACGGGAAGACTGCTTTTCCAAGGATTGTATGAAGTAATGTCTCTTTAATTCTAATACAGACAAAAGAATATCAACTCTGTTACACTGAAGTCGAGATATTACCAGCATCGCTAGGAGCAATAACATTTTCAAGTGGCAGAAGTATATTAATAACTCTGTTCAGCATGTTTGGAAAAGATATTTTAAAACAAAAATCACCTCATAGAGGGTCCCAACTTCCTGGTCTGGAGATGGAGCAAAGGATTGGTTTACATATATAAACTGCAAGAAAAGAAAACAATTGAAGAAACGTTCCTCCTAATTTCTAACCTAAATCTCCCCTTTTTGATTAGATTAGTTCCCCCTTCCATCACTCCCGAGCTGTGTAACAAGTGTAATTTTAATTTTGCATTTCAAATAAAAGCTTAAATGGAAAAGCATAAAGATATTGGAAGTACTGCTAATTCTGAAGTCAGTACAATCCTGTTCCTGAGTCTGCTGCAACCTTTCTCAGGACACTTGGATTCCAAAGGGAGGAAGGAATGGCAACGTACAGCAGTGCAATGCTGCCCAGCTGCAGACATCCCTGCACAAGCCATCTGGAAAAAGTAATCAGTAGCATTAAACTGCTTGCAAAAGAAACTCTGAAGGGAGCAGGCATCAATATTCACAAAATCAACCCAAAAACTCCAGTTTTTCCCAAGTGTTCCTCCTGTACCCCATGCTTCTAAGCTACACGAGCACACAAACCTCTCCCTGGAACACACACAGCTGCGATCTGACAGCACAAGGCTAGAAGTGGAGATGGTGCAGATGGCACCTGGTCCAGCCAAGCAGGCACCGCTCCCGGGCGCTGCTCCTGCCCAGAGCACGCCGTGGGGAGCACAGTGAGGGACATTACTGCCGCCTCACACCAGGCCTGGTGCTACAGGCTCAGCCCTGCAGGGCAAAGGCTCCGTACCAGCTGCTCAGATGCCATCAGCTTCAGGAATTTCTTGATGAAGTCACACAGGCCCTGGATGGTCCGGGTGCGCTCCACAGCCCACTTCTTGGTCTTCATAATGGGGGTGTCACCCACAGCCTTCAGCAGGACGTCAACTGGGAACGGAACAGCGTTAGTGGCGGCTGAGCCAGGCAGTCAGGGGCCACCGCCTCTTGCTCTCGCCGCTGATTGGCTCTCGCTCCCGCCCGTCACCAAGCCGTCCCGCCCCTCGCCCGCCCTCCTCTCCCGGCCCGCCCTCCTCTCCCGGCCCGCCCTCCTCTCCCGGCCCGCCCTCCTCTCCCGGCCCGCCCTCCTCTCCCGGCCCGCCGCCCCATTACTTTTCTTCTTGGAGTCACTGGCGGGCTCCTCGTTGCTCGGCGAACCGGCAGGGGAGGCGGCCGGCTCTCCGACGCCCAAAGCCGCTCCGCTCTCCGAGGTTCTTTCCGGGGCCTCTTCCCCGGCCCCGCTTCGCCCCTCGCTCTGCGGCGAGGCCAGCGCTCGCTCCTCCGCTTCCGCCATACCTCCTCCCTCCCATAGGCGGAAGCGACGTGAGGCGCGGAGCAGCCCCGCCGCCACGCGGCGTTTTGTCCCTCGCGGGACACCGCCTTCCCGGTCACGTGCCGGGGGCGGGGCGCGTCACGTGCCGCCGGGGCTGTTCCGTCGCTCAGGGCTGCGGCTCGCCGGAGTGGCGCTGGCCCCACCATGATCAAAGCCATTCTCATCTTCAACAACCACGGCAAGCCGCGGCTCTCCAAGTTCTACCAGCGCTACGTATGGGCGGGGCGGCACCGGGGGCAGGGGCAGGGGGAGGGAGTCGCGTTTTGAGGCGTTCGCTATGCGGGGAGGGCCCGTTCCCGGTTCCCTGTTCGCGGGCTGCGAGCGCACAGCCGCGCTGATCGCTCGAGGGTTGCTGCCCGTTGCGGGCGTTCCTTGAGTAACGGCGGCTTTCGGGCCGTTCTGTCCCGTTTTGTTGTCCTTAGCTCTGCAAGTAGCCCTGTGGTGGTCCTGAGGGTGGAACAACGCCTCGCTCGGAGGCAGACTGCGCTGCCACATCTGTAGGGATCCGCAGCCCCAGAGCCTGCGGCTCCTTTTGGCTTTTTACATGGGAGAAGTCGCGGCGAGGCAGCTCTGAGAACGCAGCGTAAGGGCTGGGTCTGAGAGAGAGGAAGCTGCGGCCACAGGGAAGCTGAGGAATATGCATAGCAGTGTTTGACCGAATTCAGGGACGGGAGCTTTTAAAATGATGCTTTAATCCTGTACAGCTGTTCTTAGTGAACAGGCTAATCCGTGCTTGGATTGACCTTGGGCGTCAAAATCGAAGAAAACAATGCATGTTCCCCAGAGTTGTGTACACAAATAGTTCTTTTTCAGCAGCGTCCCTATTTGTATCTGTGGCCAGTTGGTTGCATTTTTGGCCATTACAAAACCTTTATTTACTCTTATTGGAAGGAATGGTTCTTGCTTTGCACACCTCAGGGTTAAAATGATGGCTATGGCTCTTCAGTTTATACTGCTAGGCTTGTAATTCAAGGCCTGTAACTGATACAGCTCATTACAATGGGTGACTGAATTTAATCTGTCTCCTCAGAGAGTCAGTAATCAGAAATTCTGTTGCATGTCTGTAAACCATTTTCATCTCTCTCAACTATCTTGGGTTATCAAGCTGCCATCTCTGATTTAACATTCCTAATTTTGAAGTTCAAATGTTGATAAGCATTAAGCTTGTGTGCATATCTGTGTATTTCTGGGTAACCTTGCAGAACTTCAGGGACTTACTGAAGAAGTCTCACTCCCTACCCCAATCAATCAGTGTAGATGTAATAGTTAAAGTGTATTAATGAAATACCCTGGCAAATTATACAACTCCATCACTGTGAGAAGCAAGTAAATTCCATTCTTGTTTTCCATTGAAATCTAAATATGTTTTTGTCTTTTAATACTGCTGTGAATTTGCAGATTCCTAAGTTGGAGAAGGAGGAGCAGGAGGAAAAGAGTGCATGACAAGAGAATGAGAGATTTCTTGTGTGAATTTCACTTCCCCTCAGCTTCTTTCATAATTAGAACAAGTTCTCGATACATAAAGTAGTATAATACAACTGTGTAAACAGATAGCTTTGTAGTTTTGAAAATGAAAATCAGAAGTGAAACGTAAGAAATGATGTCGTTACTCCTCTCCAGAATTAGTTGCCTGTTGTTTGCAACTTTGTCTTGATTATCCTTTTGCATGTAGTTGTACATTTCATAATGTATACTTGTGGCCATTTCAAAGTTCAAAATAGGTTTCTGAACAACTTTGAGAATAAGGGTAGTAAACAGAAGTTAATTTCGATGGCTGTCTTTCTTTCTTAAGGAAAGAAGACCCATCCTCTCTTTCCATAGAGGTAAGATAGAAAGCATAGAGAAGGAAACTGAGAGTACTACAGTGGAAGATGCAGGCACACTTCTGGGAAATGAATCTGCACAAACAGATGTGCAGCAAAAACTAATGTGGAGGACTGATGGACAGTTGCAGTGGGGATTCAAGAAGGGTCCAGTGAATTCAAACTTAGAAGTGATGATCAGAAAAAAAAAAAAAAGAGAGGTGGCAGCCTAAGATTTTGTTCACAAACCCATTCGCAGTATATTTCTGAAAGACTTATATTAATGGGATTAGTTTTTTTTAGCACCACCCCAGTGCTTTTTTGCCAAATAATGCGTGAAGGTTTTTCAGAAGATGTTTGTATCTGTTCAGCTTACAGTGGAGATAGGAAGATTCCTGAATACTTTAGAGTACATCCTTTTTATTAAATAAACTAATTTGAAATGTTGGTATCTGGAGAATTTTCTTAAAAACAGGCACATTTTTTCACAATAATTTCTTTCACAATAATATATTTTTCTGCAGCTTAAATGTCCTTTTTTACCGTAGATGTTGAAATGACAAAAGAACAGTGTACAGCTTGTTACTTGGCAGATTTAAGGTATCAGGAGTGGATAGGTACAGGATACTTGTATGCTTTATGTTCTGCTTATGTGCTGTGGGTTCTGTGATTGTTGGTTAATCCATTTTGCTTGATAGCAAAATGCATTTTCTTTTATAGAGTGAAGATACACAGCAACAAATTATCAGAGAAACCTTCCACTTAGTATCCAAACGTGACGAAAATGTCTGTAATTTTCTAGAAGGAGGCTTGTAAGTATCAGGTTTAAAATAAATGTTCTACACTTGCAAATAATTCTGTTGATAGTAGCATACTTGTTCTTACAATTATAATGTAAATGCCATGTGGCTTGAGATATTTGGCACACTAGTAATAGGATTAGATTGATACCAGCTATATTTTTTACTAGTTGGAATGTACATATGTATTTATTTGTGTGTATACATATATGTATATATATGTATCAAAATTGCTTAGGAAATAGAGCATATTTTTTTCTAGAGGAACTGACACAGTGCTGTATCTAGTCTTACAAGTGGTTCAAACACAAGATGTGGAAGAAAAACGCAGATGATATCTAACCAGTTTCCCTGTAATTCACCTAAAGATTTCTGATTTTGTTTGAAGACCTTGGCCAAATCTACTGAGAAAGTGAAAATATTTCAAAGCTGATGCTTAGGCTTGTGCTCCTAGAATCTGAGTGCACAGCTCTAGTTGTAGGATTCCCCAGCTTGCCTGTTAGGGCTCAGGCTTGCTGTATAAACTAGGAAGAAAATGTTTTTGAAATGTGTTACTGAAGCTTTAATCAGGAATTTTTATTACTGTACTGTGGAGAAGGGTTGAGGAAAGCCATACTTGTATCTGCTGTCTTCAGAAGACATGTACAGAATATTCTTTCTTGGATCATGTTGTTGTTTTTTTTTGTTTGTTTGTTTTTTTTCTTTTAAAAAAAAAGTCTTACTTTAACTGAGCAGGACGAATTCTTATGTGGAAAAGTGTTTTGAAATGCTAGTCATCAAGACTGAATAGTTAAATTGCCACCTGCTAGGAAAAGGGGTCATAGTTGAGAGACAAGCTCATGATTTCCAGTATAAACATAGAGACTGTATTAGTCTAAGTGTTCTAATGATGGAAAATTTCTAATTGCTGAAAGCTAGCATGTTAATGATACTTTATGCAGAGTCACAGTTAAATACTTGGTTGTACTCTGCCAGCTGTGGTTTCTTTGTCCCAGCCTGGATGATCCCTGATGATTTTAATAAAATGCTTTTTTTCATCTGCTCAACTTTTCATGCATTTGATTCTTGGAGATGATTCTAAGCTAGAAATGTGCTGACTTGAAAGCTGTGAGATAAAGAAGCTGCTTGGAGATTTTTAAAAAAGCTTGGCAACACAAAAATCATAGGCAAAGGATTATATTTTTTTAATGACAGGGATCACTTTGTAGTTTGTGTTCTGGCCAAAGGCCTCATTTTGCTTGCTGAAATTGAAAGAGCTTAGGTAGTTTTGACCTGGTATAAAATTAAGGGAGTATTTTGAGATGCATAGCCGTGTAGGTCCAGGCTACAAAGTACTTCAATTTTATTTTAGCATACTTTCTGTTGCATAGAGTGGATGTTGATGAGCTGAAGAATGTCTGTTAATGATGAATTCCTTCTTCAGGAAGGCTATAGCAGAAGAGTGGAAGGAAGTAAGATGTTTAGACATCTTTTCTTTGTGTTTAGTAACTGGATGGTTAGTGAGCCGCAGAAGGAATAATGTTTTTGTGGACTTTAACGTTGCTTCACAAACTATTGACTGTAGTTCTGTCTTATTTTTCATGATATCAGACATCATATACTACATTGACGATTGTGTGGTCCATAAACACAGTTTAGGGTTTTTCTGTAGTCCAAATGCCAGCCTGCAGTATAGATTTCTTCTAATGCTGCTGCTCTCTTGAGAAAGGTAGGGAATGATTCTTCAGCATGTGTTCTGTTAAGCTATAAAGCACATTTATGTCTGTACAGTGCCTGCTAGTGTGTAATGGTAGTTTGTTTTTGGATGAACCTGCCCAGTCGGTTTGAACTGATTATAATATGGTGGTGTGTGTATCAATGTAGTTAATATCCATATGGGTAACAATAATGATGTTTGTGTGGAAAATGTAACTTGGGTTTGTTGCTTTGTTTTCTTCCATTGTCATTATATTACAGAATGGGTGTTTGATTTTTGAAAAGCTGCAGCCAGTTATTAACAGTAGGCACCCTTTTAACAGACATGACTGGGGTTTTGCTCAGCATGTCCTTAGAGGCTAACTGAGTTTTGTGTTTTCTTTGCCATTTAGATTAATAGGTGGATCTGATAACAAACTGATTTACCGACACTATGCCACCTTGTATTTTGTGTTTTGCGTGGATTCTTCAGAAAGTGAGCTTGGCATTTTAGACCTGATACAAGTAAGTTTGTTTACTTTTGTTTTAAAGTAATTGGATTTCTAAGTCCTTTGGAACTTCAGTGTTTAACCTTGTCTTTCTGTTACAATATTTGTAATGAAGGAGACTTTCATACTCTGAATATACTCAGTGCAGAGTATTATTTTTGAACATCTGTAATTCTCTGGATTTTCTTTAAATAAGTGATTTCCCAGGTTCGTGATGCAGTAAAGGGAATAGTTCATTTGGAAGCTACTGAGCAGTCTTCAGTTACTTTTTTGCTGCAGCTTTGCAAGGCCTTGTTTCGTCTGCAAGTCGAGATGATACAGTTCAAACATTTGCCAGGACAATTTTAGAGGATGAGAACTTTGATACATAATGCTGCTCATACATTTATGTGCATGTCTGTGTATTCACTACAGATATGTAACAAATTTAAAACAGCCAGAACCTGTTACAGTGCAACTTTTCAAAAGAACCATCGTGGTTTAGGAGTTTTCATTCAGATATGCCTTAAAAGTTGTTGTAGTGATTTTTCAACATAGAATTTGTTAATAAGTAATTTCACTAATTATCCTTACTGTTATCTGTGGTGTGAACCACAGAATTGTTTCTCACCCTGAAGTAGCATATGTCATCACATAAAATTGGGTGTTGGGTATGTGATTTGTTTTAATGTAGTCTTTTAAAACTTGATTTGGTACTGATAAATTTATTCATGTACTTGAACAATGTATACTTGTGTTTACAGCTGCACCATATAGATGTGTATAGGATATTATAACCTTTAAAAGCTCACGTGTCTAGAAAATTGTTTTATTACTTGATTAAAATCTGTGATATCCTGAGATGTGGGCGTGTATGTGTCATTTATTTTACTGTGAGCCTTAGAGGCCCCTTGGTTCCCTGCAAACCTCTGTTGGAGCTGAATATTTTTCTATAGTCATCTACAAGTGTTCAGAACACCTCTTTGGTGTGAAGTTCTCTTCTGGACTGTAAATCCATCTAACCTTTCCAAGAGGGCTTGTAGTGAGCAAGAAAAGAAACTGGTTTTCTAGATTCTTATATAATCTTTACTCACATAAACATTCTGAATTATGTGAGTTACTGAGTGTCCACAGTGGCCTTATGCACTTACAGCTGCTTGTCTGCTGATTGCTTTGTGTGACTTCTAAAATATTTATGAACTGAGGAAAGAAGCATGTTAATGTTTTATGTGACTTAGGAAGGTTTTTTTCTGCTAGAGAGCTTATTTATGAGTATCTTTTGTTGAATCAGGCAGTAAGGACAGGAAAGGCTAAGTCAGTCAGTCTGACATGCTGTGTTTTGCATGTGTTTATGCAGATTTGTTTGTGTTTATGCAGATTCAACTAGCATTTCATTTGTTATAGTATAATAAAAGTGATGGATCAGTAGCTTTCAATAATTTCCAGTTTAATACTGTAACCTAATTTTACTTTAAGGTGCTGAAGCAAGTTTCTGCAGCTTTGTACTACATATATATATAGTACCCTCTAACTCTCTGAATTAAATAGTGCTTAACCTTTAAGCTGTGTTACTTCTTATGCCACAAGTTCTTGGATGGAATTCCATAACTTGATATATACATTTCACATTTTTTCCATAAAGATCCAGTGCTGAATTACAAACCAGTGTAACTACTTAAATAAAGCAAAAATAATGTAAATAGTACTTCTGTTTATAGCAGTACTTGATTTTTTTTTTAACGCTATGATTTTCTTTTTAAATACAGTCTCACCACAGTGTCTGCAGCTGTTCAGTGCTCCTATTCCTCTAGATCATTATAATTCAGCCATCTGATTGTAGTAGAAAGTATACACAGATTAATTTAAGATTTTTAATTTCCATTCTGGCTCACAATCTGTTTAATCCTCTTAGCAATAGCAATCAGAGTTGAACGGATCTTTATCTGGAAAAGCACCTTCAAAAAATGTGTGTGTGGTGCAGACTGGCAGCAGTATATACACATACACCTGCATCTACTCAAATAAATTAGCACTGTTTTTGTGTTCAGAAGCGCTGAAGCATTTTCATGTGACTTTGTTTACTACAGTTCAGAGACAGTACAGATAACAGTAAGCCAGCTTAAACAACCTCAGCTACACTGGCCTTTCTTTAGACGTGCTCCAGTCCTGTAATCATCCTTGTGGCCCTTCTCTGGACCTGCCCCAACAGCTGTATGTCTTTCATTTCCTTGGAGCTCCAGGCTGGGATGCATTACTCCTGACTGGGCGTCACAAGGGCAGAGCAGAAGAGAACAGTTACCGCCCTTACTCTGCCGACCACCCCTGTTTTGATGCAGCCCAGATCCAGGCGCAAGCACATGCAGCTGGCTCATGTTCAGCTTTTCATCCAGCAGAATCTTCAAGTTCTTTGCAGGGCTGCTTTCAATGAATTCTTCTCCCAGTCTGTAAATATATTGCCCTGACCCAACTGCAGCACTTTGCACTTGGTGTTCTTAAATCTCATTTTAGGTTCATGTGGGGCCAGTTTTCAAACTTTGGTTGGCACCCCTTATTCTCTTGTGTGAACTACACCACTCAGCTTGATGTCATCAGCAAACTTGAGAAAGGTGCACTCGATTCCACTGTCTGTGTCATTGATAAAAGTGTTAAGGAGCACTGGTTGGCAGACTTTGCCTGCTCACCATTACTTTTCAGATATGATAGTGGCTTGGCAGCAGTATCAGCCAGTGCCTTCAGGACCCTGTAATTCATTTCATAAGGTGCCCTGAGACTTGTTCTTTGTTTACATTTGGAAGTTTTTTGCTCCCCCAGCCCTTGTGTAAAGGTTGAGTGACATTAGAGACACTGGAAGCCTGAATGCCACTGAAGACTAAGGCAGAGAACTTGCCGAGAACCTTGGCCTTCTACATGTCTGTTGAAGTCAGTTCTCGCTTCTCATTTATAAGGGGGTACATTATCCCTGGCCTTTCTGTTTTGGCCAGTGTATCTAGAATTCCATCTTACTATTTTTTACGTCCCTTGCTAAGGCCAGTTCCATCTGTGCCTTGGTTTTCCTGAGCCCATCTCTACAGACAGAATCCCTGTGTTTTTCCCATCTCTGCTTCCATTGCCTGTATGTTCCCTTCTTTTCCCTCAGTTTGACCAGCAGGACCTTGTTGAACTATTCCAGTTTCCTGCCTCCTCTGCTTGATTTCTTATGCTGAGGGTGCAGTGCTCTTGTGGTCTCACAAAAGTCCTCAGAGTTTTACCAGCTCTGATCTGCTACTTTGTCCCTAAACCCAGCTTCCCAGCGGATCCCATCTGATTTCCATAAAGAGCCCAAAGTTCAGGGTACTAACTGCTTTTTTCCCAGAGTGTGTTTCTCAAGATTGTGAACTCGACCAGGATATGGTTGCTGCAGCCCAGGCTGCCTACCTGTTTAATGAGCATCTCTGCATCAGTGAGCACCAAGTACTTCACCTCCTTTTGGTGTAGTACCCATGTCAGGAAGTTATCCTCAAAAGATAACTTTGAGTCCTTTTAAAGGACTCCAGGAGTCACTTGGAATGTTTAAAGTTTTGTGTTGCTTTCTGAGCAGACATCTGAGTGGTTGAAATCCTCCATCAAGGTGAGAGCCTCTGAGCCCAGTAAGTCATGTAGCTGAAGCGAGAAGGCCTTGTTCATTGGCTCCTCTTGATCAGGCAGCCTGTAGCAGACCCCAGTCTAGACCCCCAGTAGACCACCAGACATCCTGTCTCAGTCTTATCTAATGTAACCCACAAGCTCTCAACCTGATCACGGTTGTTTTTTAGAGGTAACTCTTTACAGTCTGTTTATCCCTTAATAGAGGCCAACTCCACAACCCTTCCTGCATGTCTCATCTCAAAAGCATTTAGGCCCCGATTGTGGTGTCCAGTTCTGTGATTTGTCCTGCCATTTTTGCTATGATAGCAGCTAGGTTGTAGTTTTCTAATTGTGTCTTGGTTTCTGTCTCCCGCTGTTTTCCACTGATGTGCATATTGCTGTAGAGGCACTTCATCTGGGCTATTGGCTGCATTATTTTCAACTCAAATTTTTCTGGGACAAAACTGAGGTTTTCCTGTGACAGTGTTCCCTTGCTCTTCTCCGTCACTCCCATTCCCCCATCCAATATAGTTAGAGCTCTATTAATTAGTCTAGACAGATTGCTGCCCAAAACATTGTTGTCTCTCCTAGTCATTTGCATCCCATTCCACGCCAGCATGCCTGATCTTATGGAGAAGCATCGAAGATGATAGCACAGAGCGTGATACCATCTGTGCATCCAGTCATTCATATGATCCATTTTCCTCCTACCTTGGTCTCGGTTTCCAACTGGGGAGATGGAGGAGAACACTATGTGTACTCCCTTCAGTATTCTCCAAATGAGACTTTGTTACAGATTGTACCCTGTTACATTCCCAAGGCACCCAGTCTCAGTAAATAGCTAAATCTGTGTGATCTGTCTCCTGATGGTAGATGCTTTTTATGTTAGTAAAGGGAGAGACATATAGCTGAGAAGCTTATTATGGTAACAAAATCCAACAAAAACCCAAAAAGCATAACATTAACCAGCCAAAACAAAAATGCAACTAATACTCAGTTAACACTGGTAGTCTGTTTGAGGATTGAGTAAAAAGGAGAGAGTAGGAGCTAAGAATGAAAAGAGCATGTTGCTTGAGGGTTTTACAAGAATAGCATACTGATAATACAGAAAGTATACAGGGAGATATTCTTGAAAACTAGCTTTGTTTTCACTAACCAGCATTCTCTGTAGCAGCTATGGATAGCTGTAATTTACATTTATTAAAGGAAAGATAGGATGTCAGTGTATGTTTGGGAAAATAGAGTGTCTCCAGGTGCTTGAAGTGACACATGAATGATGACTTACTACAGATCATCCTCAAAGAAGAAAAGGATGTACAGAGAACTGGCTTTATTGTAGGACTGTTATATTCTAAGCCAATTGGAGTTTCAGGAAGCTTTTGAGCAGGGTAATGCACTTTGTGAGGAAATAACTGTCAAATCCACAGAATTAACTGTATATTATAGTAAGTATTTAGAAATAAGTGGGATCTTCTTGATATGGATTATGCTTATTGATTTTTTTGCATTTTTGCACTTACAGTTTTTTGTTGATATTTTATATTATCTGGCATCAAATGTATGTAATTAATTGGATATTATACTTTTTCTGCCAGCTTACTTATATTCCAAGTATTAATCTATGTGTTATTTCTTATTTGCCTGATTGAGAAATGAGGTTGATGTAGTAAAAGCGATCTTTGTTTTGGTACATTAATAGGCACAGGGACCTCATTGATTCTGTGGTTCTTCATATAAAAATTCTATTTGTTATTTCAAAAATGAAACTCAAGGGGGAGCTAGCCAGTCATTGTGAATCTACTGGTACACACTCAATGACCTGCTCTGCGTTTGATATTCATTTCTGTTTCTTTTCCATTTATTTTCCAATAATGTCACAAAGTGCATTTGAACTGTTTTTTTTTCTTTCCCTGGAACAATTGGTATGTTTTCTCTTCTGATTATTTTGATCTACAGGCCTGCAGTATATGAGATAATTGCCAAATTATTTCTGGCAATGCTTGGTATTGTGTGCAATTCATTTAATTCTCAACTAAAATTGTAATGAAAGTGAACTGGCTCTTATGTTATGTACATCAGTTATTTAAATGTATCTGAAAAGAGATTGAGAGATGTTAGTGTAAAAAAAACCTAACTTCCCTTGTAGATCAAAGCTATTGAGTACTAATAATTCATAGTAGATTCATACCTTATCGGTGCTGGCATTATGCCGAATGAACTTTCCAGGGTTTCTTTAACAAGTCCTTAGCTGGTGGAAACAATCTGTGGGTCATGTCCAGTGGAAGCTGATTTTCTTTTTGTCAAAAATTATTTAGTGTGTTAATGCACTGCAGGCAGAGATTTGAGTTCCTTCACTGCACTGTCACTGTGCAGTGGGTGAATGTGTAAAAGCGATCATTTTAACTATGGATCAAGAGTTTCTCATGGGGGAAGCCCAAGTAAGCAAAATAAAACCTCAGGATTGCTGACATGTGGGCATACATATTGCTGTTAAATACACATATCTGTGGGCCTTTAGAGAGTTTTTTCATGTGTAATATTGCTTTTAAGGCAGTAGATGAATGTCAAAGACAGAATATGTAAATTCATGCTGAAACTTTGTGAAGTTAATGGGGAATATTCTTTTCAAAAACAGTCTAAAACTTTTGGCTCTTAAAATTAAGTCCTTTTGGTAAAGATTATGTTACTCTGTTTTCAGTCTTTTTCCTGCCTCTGATATCAAGCACTGTTCTTGTATCCACATTCTCCTAATGTGCAGGGAAAGTAAGAGAACATCTCTGATCATTTGTTTTGCTGCAGTTAGTAATAGAACTCTATGGTTTGTTCTGCTTAATGTATATATTTTTTTATTTGCTTGCCTCCCTTGTTTATAATTCATATAAGAGTTATCATCACAACCAATTAACACTACTTGAAGAAAAAAGATATGCTTTTTTTACCTTCTGTAAAATTTAGCATAAACCTATTCACTTTGTTAGTTAACTGTTGTCAGTGATGCTTACTGTCTCAAGTCTGCCTGTAAAAATACTGTGTTCCTAGTTTAAGTTATTCACTGATTATTTGGTACTAAAAAATAATTTTTGTTTAAAATGTATGAAACATCAGTTAGATTTTGTCTTTAATGATGCTAGTAATTAACAATGGCAGAGTGTGCTACTCAAAGTGTAAGCAAGATATGAAACAAAAGGATTGGAAATGAGAAGTAACTTTTATTGTTTTGTAAGGCATATAGCTAGAAATGACCCATGTCAAAAAGCACGTTTTTCTGAGTCTGTAGACATAAATTTGTATCTGTAATTGCAGACCTTTTATCCACCTTTTGGCAGCAGAATATGTCAGCAGAAATTCTCATTTCTTTAGGGCTAAATAATTAGAAATATGGGTCCTCTCCAAGGTGAGATTAATATATCATGTTGAAAAGACAGAGAATCAAAACCAGGAGTTTAATGGCTGCTGTATTCTTTTTGGGTCTGAGCTTAGAATTGCAAAGAAAAAATTACATGCAGTGACAACTTAAGAAATAATACTAAAGGCATCGTGTGACAAAAAAACCCCCTTGAATTATATAAAACCACATTTACAATTTTGTGGATTTGGGAGTTTATTTACTACTCACTAATAAATGATGTGTAAATTCTCAGAGGTGGTCTTTCCCATTTTGAAGACCCTAAACTTTCAAGCTCAAGCATGTGCTTCAAGTGGAGTTCTTGCCACGTCTCATTTAAATGGACAAGAGTTATCCTTGGCCTGGAGGAAACTGCTTAAATCTCCGTAAGACCTGGCTCTGTCTCTGTCATACACACCGCAGTCACACAGTGAATGACCTGCAGGAGTTGTGGGAGTGCACGTGTAGTCAGTTTTTCATTGTGTGGCCAGGCTGGAGGCTGGAACGATCTTAGTGTCTTACCTAGCATGCCTACCAGGGATTCTGTTAAGGAGATATCAGAGCAGAGTATCATATGGTCAATATGTAGCAGAGATTGTCAGCGTTTGTACTTGAGCAGCTGCTTGGATTTTTCTGCCCTGCACACGTACATTCTCACTTCAGAGACGAGTTATTTGCCTGGGTAAAACTGCTGAACCTTTCTGAGTTCCAGTGGTGGTATTCCTGAAAGGATCTTCAGGTATGATGTCACAACAGCCACCTCTCACCTTGTTCCCTCCTGAATTTAGCAAGTCTGAACAACACTAAAGCTGCTGTATTTTCCCTGAACTGTTCCCAGAAGTCATAATGCTTGACAAACTTACATAATGCTGACACCTTGCATTAGGTGTGTGCCTCTGAGTAGGAAGGTTAACTGTAGTCTGCTTGGCTGGGATATGGCCACACTGTGGTCATTGGTAAACATAGTAACAGTTGCATTCCCAGGAAATCTCAAGGAAAATTTGGAATGGTAGCTGAGAAAATTGTAGCATAGAGTGTTACTGTTGTACTTTAACTTGGCAGGTGGCTGACTACCGCGCATCCCCACCTTCTCAGATGGGTGGGGGAGAGAATTGGGGGGAAAAAATGAGAAGTAGAACTCGTGGGTTCAGATTGAACTATTTACAAAGACAATTACAAAGAGAAAAGGAAGAGAATAATAGTTATGGCTTGTGAGAATCCTTCTCTGTTTTTTTGGCTCAAAGCTTGCTTCCTGAG